TAAATTTCAATTATAGACAAACTATTTGTTCAATAAAAACATAATTTTTTATAAATCAGCACTTTTAAGTGCTATTCAAACGTATGTGCAAATATGTCGTAGCCGCAAAGGTAAGTACTAAAAAATAAACGTTTCAACAAAAAAAAAATAATAATTCCAAATTACGAATAAATTCAACCTTGTGTTTTTCTTTATTCTTACCCCTCCATTTTCAGCGAAACGAGCAGGTAAGTATAAGGTAAGTATTTTTTAATTAGTTAAAAAAAATATACTTAATTAAAATAGTTGATTTAATTTAGTGTACAAAATAATACTAAAAAATGATAATTTTTTTTTGTAATATACAGTTAGTACGCACTATCTTTAGAAAAAGCGACAATGGCTCAAACGATAAAGCACTGTCGTATAGATGCAAAGAAGACTAGGTTCGATTCTTCTGTATGTCTATTTTAAAAAAATTTTTTTTTCTTGTTCTTAAATGAATTTTAATAATAAGTCACATCTTTTTATTACTGAAAGATTATTAAGAGAACAAATACGATCAATAATGTTGCTAATTTTTTTTTCTTATTGAGTATTAGATGTAGACAATTACTTATTTATATGTACATTATCAACAAAAAAATCAACAGAAAGGACAGGTAATTTTTTCTTAATTAAAATAATTGAAATATCATTATTAAAAAAAATAACAACAATAAAAAAAATATCTCTAAAATCAGTGCGTATATGCGACAGTTTTAAATGACGTCACTCGTATAGAACGTTGAGTCAATTCCCCACGAGTTTTATGCTTTCCATATACATACATACGCGCACGCGCTCACGCGCGCGCGCATGTATATATATAACTTATAGCAAATTAAATGAATTTTTTATGGAAATGTATGGCATGTATAGAATTTTTTCTTAATGGAGGATGGAGAGGCGAAATCTCGCTACATACGCGTGCACGTGTATGTATAACTCATAACAAATTAATTAAATTTTTTTGTGGAATGTATGGCATGTATGGCATGAATGGAATATATGGCACATATGGCATGTATGGAATTTTTTTGAATGGAGGATGGGGGGGGGGGGGGGAAATCTCAATCGTTCGCTATAAAAATGAGCTGCATCTCATCAGTAGTCGCATTCGCATCGAGAGTGAACTAGTGTAAAGTGCGAAAGAAAGAAAAGGTGATACAAGCATTCTACAATGAGCTCCAACAAGATTGACTATAGATAATTATTTATTTTATTGTTTATAGATCATACTTTATATATATTTTTTTCAATATTTTTTTTATTTGTGCAGATTTGAGCAAGTGAGGCTGGATAGCTTCACGTCTTAATGGACGTGCGCACACGTACGACCAGCAGATCTTGCTGCGGCCGGTTTTTATTATACGGGGTAGCTCGATCGAGTGCGCTGTTTTGAATGTGGTATGGAAGTCTGTCGTTGGGAAGAAGGTGACGACCCTATGACGGAACATAAGCGCTGGAATGGCGGCTGCCTTTTCATTCGTAACAGAAGTTGCGGCAATGTGCCGATCGGATCGAGCCCTGTACCAGTACCTCCTTGAAAAAGTAGAGATGTTTGTGGACAGTTTAAGCTCGAGTATCGGACAGCAACAACGTGTGAAGAGCCAGCGTGCGCAACGACTAGCCCACCTACTGTCAATCCACCTTCGAGTACAGACGAGCCTGCGTTATCGTTATCGATAGAGAGCCTTGTTACAAAGCTTTTATCCGATTTACATTTGAATAAAAAATGTGCTTCGAAAACCATATCAAATGTAACTGTTGGTATGGTATCTGTTTGCGAAGAATTTGTACGCGGTTATAAGAAAAGTATTGATAAACAAAATGAAAAAATGAATAAAATTCGCGAAAGGGTTGAAAAGTCGCAGCGAGATATAGGCAATATTTTGCGTGAACTTGAAATTACCTGATGTAAGATATGTTTGGATGCTAGGATAGCTGTACTATTTTTACCTTGTGGACATATCTACCAGTATGTATTTTTATGTTAAATTTTATTGAATTGAAGTTAATTGGAAATTTTGGAAAAATGATTTTTTTGTTTCTTATATACATGGTGACCCATTTTAATCGCCGCAGCCGGATTACTCGGAACCTAAGCCAGATAGGGAAAAATGGTTCTGACAAAAGTTGTAGAGGGCAAAGCGGGTAACATAATAGAGCTAACGCTTTTGACCTTGACCTTACCTTCAAGGTTATTTCAAGGTCAAAGTGTTTTTTTTAATGAGAACCCCTATTTTTGACGTTAAATTCGTAAAGAGCGGGAAATTTTATGTCCAAAATGGCATTTAGGATATTTTTTTCATGACCTTGAGAAGGGAATTTCAAGGTCAAATGTTATAAAATCCTATGATTGCTATTTGCGAGCCGTTTCTCATGAATAGCAACCCCAATATTACAACGAGCTTGAAAATGTTGACCTTGAAAAGGTTTTTCTTACTTTTAGCGTTACCCAGAAACAACGACGTGAACGTAGTAAGGTTTGTTTCCTTTGAGGCGCTTGTTTCACGTGAGTCCCTTGCCTCTTGTTAACCTCGAAGCAAGTGTTCGAAATGACGACCATTTACTTCAAGACACATTGTCAAACGCCTTTGAAAATGGCGAACGGTTTCAACAAAGTTTGCCTCGGAATAGCAGTGCATACTCGACGAATCCTGTCCTGCATATCTGCTCTTGTAGTAGGTTGTTGCTCAAATAGAGCATTTTTTAAATATTTTTTTGCAGACGTGTCTATAATTAATAACGTGTGAATAATTACATTATCAAAATTAGTATTTCTGTAATTCGAGCGCTACTAATTCACATTTTTCACATAAAATAAAAAATAAAGAGAAGTTTTAGTTTTATTTACAATGTACGATATCGAGTACTTTTACAGTTATTATATCGGACAATTTCATAGACTTTAAATTTAATTTAGTTGAACTCGCGTTATTTGCATATAATTATATTTTATTTATATTGTATTACCGACATTCATTTATGATTCACTCATTGTATTCAATTTAAGTAATTTTAAGAAAGGCGGTACCTCGCTGAGTCGTTGAGAGGGTGTCGATTTCTCTCTTTGTAATCTACAGTCCACTCTATTAGCTGACGCGTTTCTCGTGGTCTCCTCATGGTTAACATGTGTTACCCCGACGGCGCATAAGCGGCGCAACTGAGCCACGACCACGTTATCGTGACTATCGCCTATGTTTTGGTTCACCACTCGTCTCATTTTTCCACTTTCCCTTTTTTTATTGTTTTTAAGATTAAGAGTGACGACTAGGGCAATAGTCGACAGTTAGTTAGCTGAGAGCCCTCGACGAGTTTGTACGCTCTCAGTCGTATCCTCTGTCAATTCATGAAATAAAATCTGATCATTCTGTCTTAAAATTCATAAATTTTTCCTATCAAATCACCTTTCGTACTGAATTAATTTTTATACGGAAAGCACAGTCATTGTGCCAAAAAAACATTGGTCCTTCGAGCCGGATTGCGAAAGAAGTTTGGTTTTGTGAAGTGACGCGCTCACGTTAGTGAAGTGAATTGCCAAGTTCGACGTGATCGTACATTCCCCTTATTGGTGCAACGCTTTACACGTTGAAATATTGCTGATTATTTGAACAGTTTCAATCACGTATGATATTGCAATTACGTGTGTTGGTTTGAAGCACACTCTATGGAATTTTGGTTTTGGACGTGCACACATATATGAATACATACATGTGACTACTGAATCACAGTCAATTCCACTAACTCGTGTTCATTAAGAATGCACTCGGCACCCTGTGCTGTTGTTTGGACATTACGCTCACTTGGATTACACAATTTGGATAGGCTAAGGTATGTGCATTGATGAGTTTATAGCTTAAGGTGTCAAGGTAATAAAGGCAAATATCAGTTTACTATGGAGGGTACAGAGTTGAGTAAACTTTTACGTAAATGGAAAATCGTTCGAGAGCATATAGATTCCTTTTCTACATTCGTTAAAGGCTATGATAAAGATAATTCAGAGCATTATATCCAAATTCAAATACGCCTACAGACTTTGATTGCTAACTTTTCCCGTCTTGATAAGCTGTATGATGAAATTAGTTTGCTTGACGGCGAAAATGATTACTCGGGGGGGAAGCGGAAAACCGAGAACGATTATTATGCCATTGTAGCAACGGCTCAAAATCTTATTGTGAATCCGCTTTCGCAAACAAACTCTAGCATTATACAAGCGTCTCATTTAAAAACTGATGCAACCAACTCATTGATTTCTACACATACAACCGGTTCAGTAACACCTACAAATGTCGCGAGAATTAAACTACCTCAAATTATGCTACCTAGCTTCACTGGTGAAATCAAAGATTGGCTAGCCTTCAAAGAAAATTTCGCCGCCGTCATAGGTCGACGCGAAGACCTTTCCTTCCAAAAGGGCTGATAGTAACGCACCTCCAACAAAAAGGAGAAAGCTAGACGGTCAATCATTCCTCACTACGGCGAAAGGGCTATGCGTAATTTGCTCCGAAGAACATCCGATTTATAAATGCGAGAAATTCGGCAAAATGACCAGGGACGAACGCTTTCGGACAGCCAAAAATGCTCATTTGTGCTTTAATTGTTTGAGAAAACATTCGGGTGTCGCTAGAGATTGCAAATCGGGAGTATGTAAGACATGCCGTCAAAAACATCATTCGCTGTTACATGACCCGGAAAAGGAGAAAAGGGTAAAGGGGGAGAAAAAAGAAGCATGACTATCAAGCTCTGATTTTTGCTTCAATTCAGTGACTTCTCTACCGAGTTTCCAATTAATGACGACCGCGTTAGTAGGCACCCTTGATGTTGATAATAAATTAATTCAAGCTCGTACTCTACTTGACACGTGCGCAACTGCCAATTTCATTACAGCCCGTCTTGCCAAAAAATTACGATTGTCAAAAATTAAATGTTGTATTTCTATAGGAGCGGTCAATAATCTTTCTACTACTGTTGATAGCATGATTACAATTACTTTCAGATCCTTACATAATGATTTAAAACGTACATTGAGTTTTTTAGTAGTGCCAAATATTTCAGATTCAGTACCGAACGATTTGATACCGAGAGAAAGACTCAAAATTCCCTCTTACATTCGCCTCGCCGACCCCGAGTTTCACAAACCTGCACCTGTCGATATGTTTATTGGATCGGGCACGACACTGTCACTCTTTTGTATTGGCACGATTAATCTATCTCAAGGCAACAATGATCTTATTTTTCAAAAAACCATGTTGGGATGGGTGCTAGGTGAAGGCTTGAATTTTCCCAAAACTTCCGCTCGCGGCGTCGCAAATAATTGCATGTTAACAGACTTAGAAAGTAGTATAGAAAGATTCTGGCTTATTGAAGAGATACCGGAGAAAGTTCAATTTTCAGCAGCGGAACATGAGTGTGAGGAGCATTTCAAAAAATATGTCACTCGAAATGAAGACGGTCGATATGTTGTAGCACTACCCTTTAAAAAATCTCCAGAGTTACTAGGTCAATCAAGGTCTATTGCAACGAAACGATTACAATATTTAATGTCTAAATTCTCAAGGAATGCGAATTGTAAAGAACAATATAATGCTGCAATTCAAACCTACATAGACTTGGGCTACATGTCAACAGCGGAATCATCAGATGACTCTGGTTACTACTTACCGCATCATGCCGTAATCAAATCGTCGAATTCTACCACAAAGGTGCGAGTAGTTTTCGATGCATCGGCAAAAACTACTAGCGGTTATTCATTAAATGATTTATTGATGACCGGTCCCACTATACAAGACAGTCTTTACTCTTTAGTTTTGCGATTTTGAACTTATACATATCTATTAATGGCTGATATTGAAAAAATGTTTCTACAGTTTCTTGTACGAAATGAAGATCGAAAATATTTAAAGGTTTTATGGCCGATAAATGAAGAAATAACTACACAAACTTTAAATACTGTCACAAGATTCCTTTGTTTATACTATCAATCTTAGGGAACCACCTAAATCGGTAACAAAAAGAATTGTTTTATCGAAAATCGCAAAATTATTTGATCCACTCGGTCTAATAGGTCCTGTCATTTTATAAAGAAAATTATGCAAGAACTTTGGAAACTAAAATTGTCATGGGATGAGTCGGTTCCGTTATCTCTGTTTTCCGATTGGCAAACTTATTGTAGACAGCTGAAAGCATTATGGATTCAGCGACGTGAGTAATGACGGTTACGGCGCTTGTATTTACTTAGTGTGTAATGATGGAAACGAAAATTATCAATCCGTTTTATTGTGCGCAAAATCACGTGTTGCTCCGCTAAAATTACTCACGATGCCTAGACTAGAATTAAGTACACTCTTGTTGGCAGAACTATACCATTCAGTAATTAATTCAATCAACACCAATATAGATTCAACAGTATTTTGGACTGACTCGGAGATTGTTTTGCATTGGTTTAACCCATTAACGACCAAAAAGGTCAGTTTTTGGACATATTTTTGATCGCAAAATTAATTTGTAAAACGAAACAATAAATTGATCCAGGGTACCATACTTTATTTTTTTGGGTGTGCTGAATCTACATCCGGGCTCAAAATTCAAAAATTTTGCTTACAGAATTAAATATGGCCGATTTTTTATAAAAAAATAGGGAAATTTTGAAAAAAAAAATTTTTTGGAAATTTTTTATACCATAACACATGTCAATCTCGAAATCTTTCTTTAACCATGAGTGCACAAAATTGTTGAACTTTAACAGAAAATTTTTATATTCAAAGTTTTTTTTCCAAAATGGCGGAAAAAATGCCAAAATCTGGAAAAAAAATGCGTTTTAGATTACTATTTTTTTCTTAAAAACTATGAGGTTAAGGAAAAAGTTTTATATAACAAAAATATCTTATGATTTGTCAAGGAATACTCTAAAATTTTTTCAAATTTTTTGAAAATTTTTTTTAATTTTTCAAAAAATGAACAGAATTGAAAATTTCACAAAAATTTCGAAAAATTCTGTAAAAATTAGAGAGTATTCTTTGACTAATTCTAAGACATATTTGATCTTATAAATTTTTCCCGAAAGCCTATAGTTTTCGAGAAAAAAATTCTCAAACAATTGTGGAAATTCTATTCAACCGTTTCAACTTTTGGAATTTCATAAGATAAGTTGGGGTGCAAATGTACGGGATTTCCATTCTCCATGAGGTTGGAGGAAAAAATCGTATTACCTGAGTATTACTTGAGTGCTTATAACATTTATATTTAGATTTTACTCTCAGCGTAGCCCATCTCTTCTCTTAGAAAAGTTTTACCAAAACCTATTTGGGCAGATCAATTGAAGTCGATAAACATAACAGTAGATAAGCAATGTATGTTCTGGGACACAAAGGAGCCGCCCGATGAAGATGTGAAGGTAGTGACACCTTTTAATTTATGGTCAGACCCCATAGTGAGTGTCTAAAAGGCATTTGATGTACCTTTGACACCTTCCGCGGGCCAGTGGGCCCCATGCTGAGTGTTAAAGGGCATTTGATGTTGGTTTGACACCTCGCGCGCGCCGCCAATGTATAAGGGATATGTGTATGTTCTGGGACACAAAGAGGCCGCCCGATGAAGGTGTCGCGATAGTGACACCTTTTAATCGCGATAAGGTGAGACCCCATGCTGAATGTTGCATTTGATGTTCATTCGACACCTCCGGCGTGCCAGTGGGCCCCTTCGAGGGGGCCAGTGCCCCCCCCCCTCCTTCGATAGTAGGACGCTTCACCCACCCACCCACCCACACAGGTTGTTAAGGTAGGATGCTGTAGAAGTCGGTAGGGTGTTTGGTAAACTATATGCTTATGCTGGCTGAGTGTGGACCCTCGGAGAGGGGGTAGCGTCTCTAGCTTGCTAGGCGCGTACGCCGTATAGTGCGGATGATGTTTTCACTCTCTCTCTCTCTCTCTCTCTCTATCCCTCTCTCTCGCTCTCCTTCGATAGTAGGGCGCTTATGCTAGCTGAGTGTAGGCCCTCGGAGAGTGGGTAGCGTCTCTAGCTTGCTAGGCGCAACCACCACCCACTCACCCACCTCCTACCTTTCGTCTGACTACTCCCTCTTCATCCTACAGCGCCGAGACCGCTGCTTTCAGCGCCACATAGTGCTTAAAAGCCGTGCTCGATTGGAAAAGAGCGCAGTCTTTCGAGACAGCCCGCTTCACTAGCTTTCTTAGCAGTGACAAGCAGTAGTAGTAGTAGTAGTAGTAGTAGTAGTAGTACTAGTAGTAGTAGTAGTAGTACTAGTAATAGTAGTAGTAGTACTAGTAGTAGTAGTAGTAGTAGTACTAGTAGTAGTAGTAGTAGTACTAGTAATAGTAGTAGTAGTACTAGTAGTAGTAGTAGTACTAGTAGTAGTAGTAGTACTAGTAATAGTAGTAGTAGTACTAGTAGTAGTAGTAGTAGTAGTACTAGTAGTAGTAGTAGTAGTACTAGTAATAGTAGTAGTAGTACTAGTAGTAGTAGTAGTATTACTAGTTATCCTACGTGCATTTTCATTACAATGGCTTCTATTTCTTATTTTGAAAATACAGTACGCGATTTATGGAAAGCCTATTACAACTAAGACGCTAATAAGAATGATTTTATTAGATGGAAAAATATAATAATTACCGCTTTTCATTCTCTTGAAGAATATATGTTACGGCCTAACTTAAGTAGAGCAATACGACAGAGATGTCAAACATGCGCTACTCATTTGAATTCAATCGAAATTAATTTAAATAATTCCATAAAAGTCGGAGGAAATGTTAATTCATTACGAGTCATTCCAAACCAAATTGAAGGGAACGGAGTTATTTGGCGTGAAATAAATTCATCATTTGAAAAACGTATCATTACTGCATTCATAGCCAATCAAGAACATAGAGATATAAAGTCATTCTTAAAAGCAGCAAATAAATTATTACAACTACAAATACCAAAATATCTTTCAATTCATAATGCTCTAAAAATAAATATAGAAATGTCAGCTCAATTTACCGTAATAAAAGATAATGTAGAGGACATTCAAGTAAAGTATTTCAACATCGAAAATGTTTCTATTTATAGAACGACAGATCTTAAATTATGGTTTACAGAAAATATTGAAGATGTTATACTTAAAAATTTAGAAGAATTTCAAGAAAAAGATTCCGGTTGGACATTAAAAACTATCATCGGTATTACTGTTAATATAAATAAATTTAATCCTTTCAATCCTGGCTCATATATTCAACTACGAAAACAAATAGCAGATAAAAAAGCAATTATCAACGTTCAAAATACAGATAATGAATGTTTTAAATGGGCTGTGCTTGCCTGTCTTCATCCAGCTAGATTTCATAGCGAAAGAGTTCAAAATTATATGCCCTTTGCGAATGAATTAAAATTCGATGATATAAACTTTCCTGTCGAGGTAAAGAATATTCCTAAATTTGAAAAATTAAATAGTATTTCAATAAATCTATACATACTAAAAAAATACGGTTTTAAATTCGAAGTCTCACCATATTATATATCAACTTTAAAACAAGATAAGCATGTAAATCTTTTGTTACTACAAAGCGATTATATTGATGAGAATGAAACATAAAAATCTAATAGATCAAATAACAATGATAATTTCAAATTAAAATTCCACTATGTATGGATTAAAAACTTATCTGCTCTTGTTAGAAGTCAAGTAACGAAACATACTGCACAGATTTATCTCTGTGAACGCTGTCTCCACTATTTTAATAAAAAGAAAAATTGAATATTCATGAGACAGATTATTCAAAATTAAATAAATATAGAGTTAATCTACCTAATTTTCCTCTTCTGAAATTTAATCATTATAATCGAAAAGAAATGGTTCCGTTTATTATCTATGCTGATTTAGAGTGCTTATTAAAACCAGTAAATAACGGACGATCCTTCCAAGATCATGAAGCCTTTAGTGTGGGGCTTTATATAAAATGTAGTTATGATGATTCCAAATCAGTCTTTAAGATGTATAGAAAAAAACTGAATGAAGAACCCGCACAATGGATTATCAAACAATTTCAGATTTTGTTAGATGAAATGAATCGAATATATAAGAATGAAATAGAAATGAATCTTTCATGGCGTACTCAAATGGATTTCAAGATGAGCAAAATGTGTCATATTTGTAGAAAATATTTTCAACCTGATGAAACAAGAGTTAGAGATCATTGTCATTTGACGGGCCGATTTAGAGGTGCTGCTCACGCATTCTGTAATTTAAATTATAAGAATCCTTATTTTATACCAGTTGTCTTCCATAACCTTACTGGATATGATTCTCATTTTATAATAAAAGAAATAGCTACTAGCTCTGATCTTGAGGGAAATGTGACTGTTTTAGCTGATAACAAGGAAAGATATATAGCTTTCACAAAACACGTGGATGGTAGTACTATAAATTTTCGATTTATTGATTCGTTTCGTTTTATGCCATCATCTCTCGAAAAACTGTCTTCATACTTAACCAAACTAAATGTCGTAGAGCATGAATTCAAGATAGATAAATATACAAAAACACAAATAGAATTATTGAAGAGAAAAGGCGTTTTTCCATATGAGTATGTTAACAGTTTTGAAAGATTAAAACAGACTCAATTACCACCTATCGAAGATTTTCATAGTTACTTGATAGATAGCAACATCTCTGAAGCTGACTATGAGCATGCTCAAAAAGTGTGGAATGCATTTGACATCATTGATTTAGGACAGTATTCTGATTTATATTTAAAAACTGACGTATTACTCTTGGCCGATATTTTTGAAAATTTTCGTAAAACTTGTATGGACGCGTATCAAC